GGTTTTACCCACAGCTCCTTGGTATAATGGAGCTTAACAAGCTACAAAATGAAATTTTCAATCTTTTTTTTTAAATTTGTTTGTTTATTTATTTATTGGAAAGGCAGATGTACAGAGTGGAGGAGAGACAGAGAAGAACTTCCATCCAATGATTCACTCCCCAAGTGGCCACAACGGCCGGTGCTGCGCTGATCAGAAGCCAGGAGCCATGAACTTCTTTCTCCAGGTCTCCCACACGGGTGCAGGGTCCCAAGGCCTTGGGCCGGCCTCAACTGCTTTCCCAGGCCACAAGCAGGGAGCTGGATGGGAAGTGGGGCCACTGGGATTAGAACCAGTGCCTATATGGGATCCCGGAACGTTCAAGGCGAGGACCTTAACCGTTACACTATCGCGCCGGGCCCAAAATTTAAAATCTTAAAGACTGTACAAAAGGTCAAAAATGTGGTGACACTGTTTTGGTGAGGAAACAGGTAGACTCACACTGCTGGTAGATATACTCACATAAACTGATATAACTTCTGTGGAAAGCAACTTGGCGATATCTAACAAAAATGTTTACAACTGGAGCAGCATGATGGCCCAACTGGGAAGTGAATCAGTGGATAGAAGCTCTTTCTCTGTCTTTCCTCCTCTCTGTAAATTTGCCTTCCCAATAAAAAAATACACAAATCTTTTAAAAAAAATGTTCACATCCATTGCCTAGCATTTATACTGGGAGTTCAATTTAATACTTATCACAGAAGTAAGCACACCTAAGAAGCACTGGAAACCCAAGTGTCCAAGAATAAAAGTTGGCTGAACGATGATCCACCTATACAACAAAATATCTAACTTTTTTTTTTAAAGATTTATTTTTATTATTTTTTTTATTGGAAAGGCGGATATACAGAGAGGAGAGACAGAGAGGAAGATCTTCCGTCCGATGATTCACTCCCCAAGTGAGCGCAACGGTCGATGCTATGCCAATCCAAAGCCAGGAGCCTCTTCCGGGTCTCCCACGCGGGTGCAGGGTCCCAAGGCTTTGGGCTGTCCTCGACTGCTTTCCCGGGCCACAGGCAGGGAGCTGGATGGGAAGAGGGGCCGCTGGGATTAGAACCGGTGCCCATATGGGATCCCGGGCGTGCAAGGTGAGGACCTTAACCACTGCGCCACCGCGCTGGGCCCCTAACTTTTTTTTTAAAGCGGTACTCTCTATACCACATAGAATGATCATCAATATAAATTAAGTGCAAAAGAACAGAGTAATGAATATAGCATTCATCATATATGTAAAACAAAAACAAAAGCCAAACAACACAGTTATATATATTTGTGAACACAAAGACTTTCTTTAGGGCCCGATGGAGTAGCCTAGTGGTTAAAGTCCTCACCCTGAACGGGCCAGGATCCCATATGGGCGCCGGTTCTAATCCCGGCAGCTCCAATTCCCATCTAGCTCCCTGCTTGTTGCCTGGGAAAGCAGTAGACGACAGCCCAAAGCCTTGGGACCCTGCACTCGCGGTCAGAGACCTGGAGGATGTTCTAGGCTCCTGGCTTCTGATCAGCACAGTACCGGATGTTGCAGTCACTTGGGGAGTGAATCATCGGATGGAAGATCTTAATCTCTGTCTCTCCTCCTCTACGTATATCTGACTTTCCAATAAAAATAAATAAACCTTAAAAAAAAAACAAAAAACACTTTCTCTAGAAGTATCCAGTTCCCTGCTAATAGCCTGAAAAAGGCAGTGGAAGATGTCCTTGCACCCCGTACCCATGTGAGAGGCTAGAAAGAAGCTCGTGGCTCCTGGCTTCAGATCATCCCAGCTCCAGACCTGGTAGTCATTTGGGGATGAACCAAAGGATAGGCGATCTCTATGTCTCTCAAACTCTGCCTTTCAAATAAATAGAGACTTGTTAACTCTGTTTGCCTTCTGGATGTTGCTTCACAAGCATGCGCATGAGCTTCTCATCTTAAAGAGTATTTCTTTATAAACCACGCTCTGTACCAACAGGAATTAGTTAACGATACACATCTTAATCCTAAAAGCATTTCATGCCTTTGTACTGTCAAAATTTTAAATGAGGCTTTGGTGAATTCAATTTGATGAAATGTTTGCAGATAAGAACAAAGCATCCTATAGAGAAGAAAGATACGCGTTTATTACCACAATAGTTTCACTTCTAGATTTTACTGAACCCAATCCAGGTCTGGGCATAGGCAACACTGAAAAATTTCTAACGACAAAGGTGCTTGGCGTACCCTCGATCCTTCCCACCTCACTCAACTATGTAAACATCAAAAATAAAAATAAAAAGGAAAAAAAAAAAGCTGCTACTGCTGCTGTGCTGCAGAGGATGCCACATTCCACATCAGAATACTGCACATCCTGGAAGTCAGCAGGCAACGGCTCAAGTACTGGATCTCTGGCACGGACACGTGAGACCTAGACAAATTTCTCGGTTCCTAACTTCAGCCTGGCCTAACCTAGGCTGTGCAGGCCCTGGGGAGTGAATCAGTGTATGGGATATCTAGCTCCATCTGTCTGTTCCTCTGCTTTTCAAATAAAATGAAAATACAAAAAAAGAGGAAAGTTTTCTTTTTTTTTCACTCAGGGGGTAGATGTTTGGCAGGGCAGTTAAGATGTCTGAGATACCCACATGTAGTATCAGCGTACCTAGCTCAACTCTGGCTCCTCTGCGTCTGACACAGCTTCCTGCTGACGTGCAGCCTAGGAGGCAGCAGGGGATGACTCCAAAGGTCTTGAGTTCCTGCCATCCTTATTGGGAGAATCAGATTGAATTATAGGCTCCTGGCCTCTATATGGCCCAGCCCTGGCTGGTGCTGGCATCTGGGAAGTGAATCAGTGGGTGGAACATCTCTCTGCCTTTCAAATAAAACATAAACCATCTGTAGTGGCAGGTGTTTGGCTTAGTGATTAGGAAATACTAAGGATACTCGAACTCCATAGTGGAACCCCTGGGTTTGAATCCTGACTCCACTTCCAATTCCAGTTTCCTGCTAATGAGCACCTTGGGAGGCAGCAGGCGATGCCTCAGGAAGCTGGGTCCTTGCTGCCCAGGAAGGAGAACTCCACAGAGTTCCAGCTCAAGCCTGGCCTTGGCCGGGCGCAGTCAGGGCCACCATGGGTGCTTGGGGAGCAAACCAGCAGGAGCTCGCTTGCTCACATGCTCTCTCTCTTCCTGTCTCTCAAATTATTAAAAATTTTGAAAGAAGCAAAATGAGCGAAGAGCTTTAAAAGGACAGCCACCAAAAAGCTCGTCATGGCCAGTCCGACATGTGGGGCTGTCCCCGGAACCACGCTCCTCGGTCTCCCTCACAGAGAAAACGCAGAGTTCCCATCTCCTCCCCAAGACCCAGGAGGATACATGCACCCCACATTCCTGTGTCAGCTTTTGGATCCATCTATAACAATGACAACCAGGAATACCACAAAAGACAGCTGAACCACGGAAAGGCCAGGATTGAACAAGAAGGGAAAAATATCTGTATCCAGTAAAGCCCAGAGAACACAACGTCCTGGAGGGAAGAATGGCAGCCAAGGAGGCCTTGGCAGAAGGAAACCAGAGCAAGCAGAACAGGAAGGGAAGAATGGGGAAGGATTACTACCCCGTCCCGTTCTCAGCTGCCCAGCCAGGGCACTGGGTCAGCAAAGAAAGCCGAGACCCACACACCATGTTCCTTCCTCTTTCCTTGTCCCCTCCTGTCCAAGTTGGTAAGCAAACTTTCTGCTAATAAGTGTATCTCTTCCTCATCCTGTTGGACTGGCAGCAAGGAGAAGTTGCAAAGTATTCAAAAGAGGCCACCAAGGAGCAAACTAAGACCACCGAACATCCACCAATCAGAAACCCACGTCCCTGCTCACAACATGATCACTGCACTTTAAAGTTCCTGTTCAGACTTCTTTTTCATTTGTTACTAAGAAATAAAGTCATTTTTATTACTCAAAATTTCCAATGGTTAAGTTACTGCCCACCCATAGTCTCAAACTGCCTATTTCCATGTCAGTCAAAGCATTGCAATAACATACAGCCAAAACGAAAGTTCTAAATCAGTTCTTTGATTTAAAAAAAAAAAAAAAAAAGGTAAACAGGTCACGCTTGATAGGTTAGAATCTGGACTTAGTTAAGCCTCAACTCCTTAAACTGTAAACTCTACTCAACCTGGTCCTCTATAGATGGACAAGAATTCTACTACAAGGAACCCGCCCTCACACAATTCAGTTGCTTTCCTATGGCCTTTAGCCTGGTTAGCAAGCCATTCTAAATCCCCTGCCAAAACAACTGGGCATCGCCTCAATGAGGGGAAGTCTGTACGAGAGGTATCGCATAACCTAATCCGAGGAGAGAAAAGGAAAAGGAATTTTAGAAGTGACAGTTTCAAAGGGGTCAGCGTGGGACACGTTGGCTCTGGGAGGCGTTAGTAGCCCAAGAATCTCTAGGGCAACCCCAGATGCGAACAGGGGCCTTGTCTCTTAACTCCCTCACACATTTCAAATTCTCCCTTGCGGGTGGAGCCAAGAGCTCACGCTCGTGAGCAGCAGGTCCAGCTCGCTGCCCAGGAAGCAGGCAGGCGCGTGGTCAAGGGGGCTCTTTATCCCGCAGGTCCCTGCGACACGGCGGTGCGCATGCGCCCCGAGGGCGGCGAGCAGGCACCGCCGAGCTCGCTCCCACCCGCGCATGCGCGGTCCCCCATCTCGCCGCAGGCGACAGCTCACTATTTGGCAAGGGGGATGGGTCCGGGCAGCGATGGGGGCGGGGGCCTGCAGGCAGGGGGCGCGTTTGTGTCTCCTCAATGCTTGGGGTAAGGAGAAAGACAGTGGCTTCGGCTCTGGCATTCGCAGGCCACGTAAGCCGGTGTAGGAAGTGGGGCACAGAGGAGCGTGTGTGTGTGTGTGTGTGTGTGTTGGGGAGGGGAGGGGGCGGTCCATCCCCTCTCCAGGGAGGCGCCCCCCACTCCGACAGCATAGCCCCCTCCCTCGACTCTCCTCCCCCCTACTCACCTGAGAGCGGCGGCGACAGCTGCTGGTCCCCGTCCCCCTGCGCTCGCCTCATACTGTCCGCAACATCCGGGACCTGCGGGACCGCCGCGACACAAACATACACCACACACACACACACACACACATACACACACACACACGCACGCTCAGAACGCGCACACTCACACACATACACCCCGACACACACCGACCGGGGCGTCCTGGCGTCAGCACGTCGACGCAGCGGGCGCGTACCCGCCGGGCCCCACCCCTTCCCGGCCCTCTGGCCCCGAGACTCCGCCCACTACCTCTGAGGCGCATGCGTCCTGGGCCTCGCCGGGACCCGGGGATCTGACGTGAGAGGCGGGAAGCCTGAGGGGTCGCATGCGGGGCATGGGAGGCCGGGGAGGCGCGAGGACCCCGGCACCAACGGCGGAGTGGCCCGGCGTGTGGCTCACCACCCTCCGGGGCTCCTTTTCTTTAGATCAGCCCTGTCAGGTCACATCACATGAAGTCTTTACGGTGATGCTAGAGACCTCTTTTTAAGTGGCTTTTGAAATTGAGCGTTTTTCCGACTAGGCTGCTGCTCTCACTGCTTTATGTAAGGGCTGAGTATGTGCTGGGCAGAATCAGGCTGGACTGCGACACCCATTGGTTCCAGTGAAAACAGAACTGGAAACAGAACCGACCCAGCAACCACCAGCTGATGGGGGCGATAGTCTGTACCGGCCCTGTACTTGCAAGTACACACAAGAAACCGGTCTAGGTTCACTTCAGACAGTTTCTTTGGGGTTCCCCCCAATTGAACTGCTGGGCTCAGTACCCTAACCAAGAAAAGACAGAATACAGAACAAATCAATCAACTACCCTAGCCCCTTGGCAGTGAAAAATAGGGCAAACGTAGACTCTAAGATGGACTATGTCAATCAGAAGATTCTTCAGCGACCTCATCGTGCTTGGAATGGCGAGATTGGCAACGATTCATAACTGGTGAACTATCAAAACCACTTGAGCAAGACCCTCGGAGCATGCCCCACATCAGGGAGCTGGGGTGGGTGGGAGAGTGGGTGGGGCTTTTCCCTTTACTTCCCTCTTTACCCCAAATACAGGAACAAAAATGTAGAAATAATAGCCTTACACACTTTCCTGTAGCCCTTGAACTTTTGTACCCCAATAACTATGTAAGGATTGCCAAAAAAAAAAAAAAAAAAAGGAAAGAAATTGAGCTTTTGGAAACAAGAAGGGTCACTCTTGAGGCCAGCGCTTGAGGCACTACCAGCTCAGCTGTGACCTGCTACACCAGCATCCATCCCCTCTGGGCATGATTTCGAATTCCAGCTGCTCCACTTTGCTGTTGATGTACTTGGGAAAGGTAATGAGCCCAGACCAAATTCCTACCTCCTGTTTTAGACACCTGAGATGAATGAAAGAAAAATCTAGAACCAGTGTTTTGGCACAGCAGGCTTAGCCACTGCCTGGGACCCCGTATGAGCACTCATTCAGTGCCAGATGGGCCACTTTCAATGCAGTTCCCTTCTAAGGCACCTAGGAAAGCAGCAGAAGATGACCTAAGTACTTGGGCCCCTGCCACATGATGTGTCAGGCTCCTGGCTTTGACCTATTGAAACCATATGGAGTGTGAACCAGCAGATGGAATCTGTCTGTCTACCTTACAAATAAATCCTTTTAAAAAGAAGCAAATAAATAAATAAATAATCTTGGAGCATCAAGGCTCCAAGAAGGGAAAAGAGTTGTCCCCCTGTTAAGTGGATTGTCGGTAATGGGATATGTGTTGCTGCTATAATTCTTTTTAAAGATTTATTTTATTGTGAAGTCAGATATGCAGAGAGGAGGAAAGACAGAGAGGAAGAGCTTCTGTCTTGATAGTTCACTCCCCAAGTGGCCACAACAGCCTGAGCTCAGCTGATCCGAAGCTAGGAGCCAATAGCTTCTTCCAGGTCTCCCACATGGATGCAGGATCCCAAGACTTTGGGCTGTGCTCGACTTCTTTCCCAGGCCACAAGAAGGGAGCTGAATGGGAAGTAGGGCTATCGGGATTAGAATTGGCACCCATATGGGATCCCGGAGGATGCAAGGCGAGGACATTGGCCGCTAGGCTACTGTGCTGGGCCTACTGCTATGATTCTTCAGTCTCAGTTTTGAAAATGTATTGGGCCTGCAGTGATTCAGCAAGCATTGATTTGTTAGGATTACCTCTTGCCTTGCAGTACTAGCATCTCACAAGGATGCCAGTTCTAGTCCTACAGCCAAACTTCGTATCAGCTCTCTGCTTATGGACTAGGAAAGTAGTGCAGGGCCTGGTGCAGCAGCCTAGTGATTAAAGTCCTCACCTTGCATGCACCAGGATCCCATATGAATGCCAGTATGTATCCTGGCTGCTCTGCTTCCCACCCAGCTGCTGCTTGTGGCCTGGGAAAGCAGCAGAGGACGGTCCAATACCCTGGGACCCTGTACCTGCATGGGAGACCCAGAGAAGGATCCTGGCTCCTGGCTTTGGATCCTCTCAGCTCCAGCCATTACAGCCACTCGGGCAGTGAACCAGCAGATGGAAGATATTCTTCTTTGTCTCTGTTTCTCTCCGGAAATTTGGCTTTGCAATAGAAATTTTAAAAATCTGAGAGAGAAAGAAAGAAAGCAGTGGAGGATAGCCCAAAGCCTTGGAACCCTGCACCACTTGGAACCCAGAAGGAGCACCTGGCTTTGGATCAGCTCAGCTATGGCCATTTAGGGAATGAACCAGCAGTTGGAAGACTTTTCTGTCTCCTCACTGTAAATCTGCTTTTCAAATAAAAATAAACCTTTTAAAAATTTATTCTTCTTGCATCAAGCCAGATAATCCAGTGCAGACACGCAGGAGGCACATACAGGTGCACCGAGCATAGGCAGCAAGCCTCCTGATAAACCCTGAGTCACAGGGGGATGTTTTGGCTTCCGGGAGCCCTGTTGCCTCCCAGGCCTGTGGGACTATCTCCAGGAGACTGTCCCCACTGTTGCCTGCCACATGCATCCTGGCGCCAGGTGGCTGGTGAGTCTGTTCAGTAGGGAAGGCTAGGCACTGGCGAGCAAAGCCCCAGGGGGTTTGCACCAACCTCTGGTGGTGCCAGGCTGTCTTTCTTCTACTTGCAAACACAGTAGCAGACCTGCAAGCTTATTGCAAAGAATTGGAAGCAAAAGACAACAGCAACCTTGTTTTTTGTCTCACATGAAAGAACTTTCATGCAAGGCCTGGCACAGTAGCCCAGTGGCTAAAGTCCTCGCCTTGAATGCACCAGGATCCCATAGGGACTCTTGTTCTAATCCCCGATGACCCCACATCCCATCCCTTCCCATCCAGCTCCCTGCTTGTGGCCTGGGAAAGCAGCAGAGGACAGCCCAAAGTCTTGGAGCCCTGCACCTGCGTGGGAGACCTGGAAGAGGCTCTGGGCTCCGGACTCCTGGCTCCTGGCTTCAGATTGGTACAGCTCCAGCCATTGCAGTCACATGGGGAGTGAATCATCAGACAGAAGATCTTCCTCTCTGTCTCTCCTCTCTGTAAATCTGACTTTCCAATAAAATAAATCTTTCAAAAAAAAAAAGAATTTTCATATGGACAACTTTAGTATGCAAAGCAAGATTTGTTGAAGAGAATAAAAAAGTAGTCTCCTGCCGTAGTGACAAGAGAGGGCTCCAAGGGAGGAAAGACCCAAGGAAATGGTGCAAAGGATGTCTTTTATGTAACATATCAGGGAGGAAGATAAAGGATAGAGAGGAAAAATTCATTCACAATGGGCAGCAAACTAGTACCTTGTCCTCCTCCCATTCTGGTGATAAGTTGAAAACTCAGGCACCATCTCTATAATAGTGATCCTGAGATGGGACTAAGACGGGCTTTGTCTCCTTGCTTCTGTTATGACAACAAATCTAAGAGATGGGAATTCAAATGCTGATTCTGTCCTTTTTTTCTCCTTCAAGAGGAGACTGTGCTCTTGGAAGGGTAAGAAATAGGGAGAATGGGCCCAACGCCAAGGCCTAGTGGCTAAAGTTCTCGCCTTGAATGCGCCAGGATCCTATATGGGTGCCGGTTCTAATCCCAGCAGCCCCACTTCCCATCTCCAGCTCCCTGCTTGTGACCTAGGAAAGCAATCGAGATGGCCCAAAGCCTTGGGACCCTGCACCCACGTGGGAGACCCTGAAAGAAATTCCTGGTTCCTGGCTTCCGATTAATTCAGCTCTGGTCTTGGGGTCACTTGGGGAGTGTCCCATCGGACGGAAGATCTTCCTCTCTGTCTCTCCTCCTCTCTGTATATCTGACTTTGTAATAAAAAAAAAATAAATCTTAAAAAAGAAAGAAATAGGGAGAAGCAGGATTTTATATTTTATTTGCTTTTGTTTTCAACTTTACATTTTAAAAGGTAACTTCGCCAGGAACCAGAGACCCTAACTGCCTGCTGTTGTGCCTGACTCCTCACAAGCTCACAGCTCAGATTTTCTTAGGCATCGCTAACAAAATATTTGAAAATTCCTAGAATTTGCACAACCCATGTCATCCAAAATGGTAATAAAAAAAGGAAGGAGATCCTAAATTCTTAGGTGATATAGTTACCATGCCCGATCCGTTTGCAAATACGACCCATTGGATGGAAGCTTGAAACTGTCCAAGTAAGTTTCACGCATCCTCGTGATCAGCAAGCTTTAGATCCTTGTGAAATCCCCAGGAACCTTTCACACCCTGGCCACCTTGCTGAAGTTTCCTCCCTCACCTGCTCTCTGGACCACACATTTCCCAAAGGGTTTGAAAGGGACAAAATAAACAAGGAAAGAGGGTGGATGTGAGAAGGCAAGCGGAAAGAGGGAGGCGAGCAAACACAAAACCTACGTGGGTGCCTCCCAGTCAGGGCTGAACATCACAGCCAACCAGATGCTGCCCTGGACCTGGAGGGTGCCCACTGGGGAGCAAGTGAATTGTGCCAGCAGTTTGCCCGGGCTGGACCCGAGTTCCCAGTGAGCCAGAGGCTGGGCCCGCATTTGTGGCCTGGTGCAACCAGTCTCCCACGTGATGGCAGGAACCACACACCGCCCACCTGGGCTACGACCCCAGCAGCCTCGGTATAAAGGAATTTGATTTGGTGGAGAGCTGATTAAACGACTGTAGATGTCCTTGGAAGCACTATGTAGAAGAATTTTAAA